TTCCCTAGAATCCCTAGAAATCTCTACGCTTCCTAGGAAGGGATGGACCAAACGAAGGCCAAAATGAAGAAAAAATGATGAAAAATGATGGAAAAAATTATGAAAAACAATGAAAAAATGAAGATTCCTTGAAGCATTTCTAAAAGGGCTCTGGGCCAAGAACCCCACCAGAAATCTTCATTGTTTCATCATTTTTTCTTCGTTTTGGTGGATTTTGCTTAGGATTCCTAGGAATTCCCTAGAATCCCTAGAAATCTCTACGCTTCCTAGGAAGGGATGGACCAAACGAAGGCCAAAATGAAGAAACAATGATGAAAAAATGATGGAAAAAATGAAGATTCCTTGAAGCATTCCTAAAAACTGCACCCTGGGGCTCTGGGCCAAGAACCCCACCAGAAATCTTCATTTTTTCATCATTTGTTCATCGTTTTGGTGGATTTTCCTTAGGATTCCTAGGAATTCCCTAGAATCCCTAGAAATCGATGGGCTTCCCAGGAAATCATGGACCAAACGAAGGCAGAAATGATGAAAAAATGATGACAAAAATGATGAAAAAATGAAGAATTAATTCTTTTTAACTTCCCAGCCTCTCCACACGAGATTCTCATAATGCTAAATAAGCGGCAAGGGATCACAAAATGAACGCACCGGCGTACGCCGCAGCCGATAGCTGCGGCTGTTTTTTTACAGCAGCAGCCATCGAGTGAAGGGTTATGTGCAGGTGAAGCCTGCGCGTGACCTTTTTCACATTGCGCAGCATTTATCGTGCCCAAAGCCCTGAGGAGCACTAGTTACGAAACGTCGGCACCGAGTAGTTTCATGGGCACGTGAAAAGTCAGCTGCATTCGTTGGCGTCGGTTTGAACATCCTACCGAGTTAGTAGTAGGACAGCATTGCACACCCTGTACAAGGCCGCTTCGAATACCAGATTTCGTTTGCCGACATTACCATCCTAACGAGCATGACCTCGGAAAGAACAACCTCGCGAATCTGGAAAGTTGGCACTGCCTATGATGCTTTTTCTACAAGTATTGCAGTTTTTGCAGCTAGTCTTGCGTTTCGAAACGTCTCCACGGCCCTTGACTAAACCTTGCACGCTTGGTTCCGAACAGGCCCGCTTCGGGGCATAGACAAAGAGGCTTCAGAAGTAGCTTCACGGGGCGAGGATCAATGAAAAGTCCAGACCTGCCGTCTGTCCCTCTGGTGACCTGATGGCTTGACCACCTGATACTCTAAGGCTGCAAGAGAAAAGCCTGACATGGTACCTGGTAGCTGCGAGGCTGAGAGAAGTCAGCTGAATCAGGGAAAGCCTTCAGAAAGAGTCATGGCACCCAGAGCTTTATGTCCAGCTAACCCTTTAGGCAGTCCTCGATCTCCACCCCACCAATCCTCCGGAGGCTGTCCTGGAAGGGACTCAGAAAGGGAGAGACTGTGAGGCTAGGAAAAAGCTACTAGCAATCTTGACTTGAGCCCGAAGCACTCTAACGGAAACTGACACCTGCTATTTCGCACCTCTTTGGAGAGAATCGCCGAGATGGACTGCAGGAGGTCGTCACAGCTTTCTCTGGCTTCCTAGAGGGGCGAATCTTTTTCGAGGGTCGCCGATCACACCACGTAGGCATGCCGCCTAAGAAACAGTCTTGCTCAAGGCGTGTTCTTCCCTTTTGGTTAGTAGGTAATGGAAGAATGGTAGTAATAGTAGTTATAATTGTACCCCATTCCTCCATTCCCTACTGTCCTGCACAGGCTCGACGCCGGAGGCCTCTGTCGGGAGTGGGATCTGGACCTTCGCCTCGTGCAGTCTGCGACGACTCGCACTGCCGCTACGAGGAATGCACCTGACAACTGTCCTTCCGGATGCCTCTCCGCCGTCTTCGCAACGTCATCGCAAGACCCTCAGCTACTTGGTGTTGAGGGGCCTCAACAATTTCCCACGGTAGGGTGATGAACTCCTCCTGGATTCCCCTGGGGTAGAGGTCCAGCGAGACGCCACCACAGACCTCTGGGACTCTAGGGCTTGAAGCTCACACCAACACCGCGAAGATTAGCAGATTCGCTTGGGCAAGACACACCAAACAGGCTGTGAGACGCGAAGGCAAAGGCTAAGCCTTTCTAAGCCGCTAAGCTGCGCATAGCTGTTCGTCTCCCTACATATGTCGACGCGGGCTTGCGGACAAGCCCTACGGTCAAGACCAAAAGAGTTAAGCGGAGCTGAGGTGATCCCAGCCCCGTGGGTTCCTGATACAAGACATCCTGCCCAAGGACCAGAAATCTCACTTCTCAGATACCCTACAAGCTGCATCCGGTCAAAGTCTGCACAAACGGCCACGTCTGTGTATGCAACAGCCCAATAACTATATGGGTGCCAGGCGCCGCGTTACTTTCGTACTCAGTGCGCGAAACTGCGATGTCAGCACGAGTTTTGCAAAAAAGCAGGTGCAACAGGTTTGTGGCACGTCACGGAGACTACTGCATTTTTAGGATTAGCCGTATCATCAGCAGCATCATCAGCAACACCATCGTCTTTATCATCGACATCAGCATCATTACAATCTTAATCAGTTCATCATGAGGACCGTCGTCATGGGCATTATCATCATCAGCAACATCATCATCAGGATTGTCATCATCATAATGATCATGACCATGGTCATAATCATCGTTACCATCACCAACATATTCATCATCTTAAGCATCATCATCAGGATGACCGTCATGATGCGCACTCGAAGGATATGCGACGGCCGGAGGCTATTGATTCCCCCCTCCAACCCCCTAGACAGCAACAGAAAACTTGGGAATGTCCTACAAAAACAGTAAAAACGCATGATTTAACGTGGCATGAACAAGTACACATGTCAATGTCAATATACATGAGATATATGTATGTATATATGTGCATATCGCTGATATCACAGGGGATTGCAAGGTAGGTCTACAGACCTGAAACTTCAAGATTTGGGAGTTTCCGAAAACTAGGGGTACCTTATTTTGGGGTCCTTATAATAAGGATCCTACTATGTAGGGTAGTATCCTAGGGTCCCCTATTTTCGGAAACTCCCATTTGATTCCGGGGCCCGTGCAATAGCAGAGGGCAGCTGCACGACCTCCACAAGCTCCGGGACCGCCTGATCCTGCGTTTACTGTCGGGGGCGTAACTGGCTTTGGGGGTGTAGGGTTGAGCTGACATCTACTCGCCTGGGTGGTGGAGGCTCTACCTACGTCAGGTTTCTTCACTTTGCCCTCACAGTGTTGTGATCAACGTAAACCTTATAGACTGTATGGCGGACCCTGACCCAAAAATCTCAGCTTGAGAAGGCCGCGCCCTGCCCGTCATCAAGGCTTCAAGGCCCCGGGCTATAAACCTGACGAGCCAGGGACTGCAAAGGTTCCCCCCGTAGTGGAGAAGGGCAGTGACAACACGTCATTGTCTCGATGACAATCCGGCTGCAGGACGACTGGTGACCGCACTCGCACGTTTCAGCCAAGCATGTACATCCATCCATCCATCCATCCATCCATCCATCCGTGCATGCATGCGTGAATGCGTGAATGCGTGCTGCAGCATGCGTGCATGCTGCGCACATGCATGCATACAAGCATGCATCCATACCTACCTACATACTTACATACATACATACACACATACATACACACCTATCCACGCACGTATACACGCACACGTACACGCATGTGTACACACATGTGTACGCACATATACATACATGCACGCATTTACATTTGCATTTACATCTACAACTACATCTACATGCATGCAAGCATAAACGCATATGTACATGCATACATCCATACATACATGTGTAGATACGTGTAGATTTGAAACATAGACATGCAACAATCGTCAAGAAATGCAAGGTGACTGATGACTGTGTACATAGGGCCTGGGGCCTCCAGCGTCCACCTCGAGACTGAATCCAACCCTCTGCACCGACCCTTAAACACTGTCTCCCCTCCTCCTCTCGTGGGATCACGTCCAGAACGGCTGGCCTTGGGCAGCAAAGGTCAGGATTTAGGCTTGCAAGTTCGTCAGACAGAGCGAAGGACACAGGGCTTGGTTAACAAGTTAAGGTGCAGCATTGTGTGGAGGTGGTGGGGTGAAACCGAGGCATCGGCCAATCCCGGCGCTGTTGCTTATGAATGTCGTCCTGGCACCAGCGGAAGCGTCTAGATTGGATTACAGCTGCCTTCAACGATCGCAAGGTCGGCGGCTCTTGCTTGGACCCTCCCTGAGCAACAGCATTCTGCAGCGAGGGTGGTGCTTCGGGCCAGTTTGAACGGGCTTCGGAATACCTCAGATCTGCTACAGTGTCTGATCCGTGCAGGGCGGACAGGCTCGAGTTCGGCTTGCATGTTTGTGGTGTTATCCTATGGCTTTTGTTAACTCTCCCAACTTGCCAACTCTCCCAAACATGATAGCCGGATTGCCAAGAATGCCGTTCCTTGTACTTGTCTGACTGGAAGCCCTGATGTTCCTTCAATGTCACTGCTACTGCTACCTTGTTGACCGAGTCTTGCAATCCACAATGCGAGCACTTTGCGAGGGAACTGGAGGCCCGCCCCCGAGTTCGGCCTGGATCATGCGAATGTGAGCCTCCTGCCCATCTGAGGCGCTGGGCTCAGGGTTGTCTGACAGTTCTGAGGACAGGGAGCAGGCATCGAGAATTGATTTGGGGTCGGCTTGTCTTCTACATCATGCAGGAGCAAGCAACAAGTGACTTGCCCAAAACCCTCTGAAACTCTAAAGCTGCAGACCCTCCTTCAGCTCAACCACAAGCCCCTCGTGGCGCTCGAGATCCAAGCGTTCCACCTGCAAGAGCAATTCGCTGTAGCTTATTATGGGTTCTCATAGGACGGAAGATGCTGCTGAAGAGGACATCTTGACCTCATGAGCGTGCTACCCTTGTGGCAATCGGCGCTCTGAGGTTTTGGATCATTGGCGCAAGCTTCCGTGTGAAACGCTGAGTCGCCCTCTCGGCATCTCAGAAGCGATTCAGGGAATTCACGGATTGAATCTCAACCTCCGTCGAAGTCCTCAGAGCCCTCTGCTCTTCGGCTTGCCTGGAACGGCGAACGTACAGCCCACCCCCGATCACGAGGAGGAGCGCACAAACACCCGCAACCCAAGGAAGAAAGTCGCCAAGGCCGTACTTAACTGTTTTGCCGTTGTCAGGCACGGGGTCTGTAGTGCTGGTGCTTGCGCTGGTGCTGGTGGTCGGCTCTTTGTTCGGCTCCACGGGTGGAAACTGGGCGGGCATGTTGTCGATTGCTGGCGGCTGAGGCGGGTCACGCCCAGGGCCCGCTTCTTGACTGTTGGTGGTTAGGCCAAAGCAGTTGTCACCAAAGGCCTTCCTGACCCCGTATGTTCCCGAGCAGATCTCGGGCGGTTCCTTGCCAGTAACCACCCGAGTGGCCAAGACCTTTTCCGAGTTCCCGCCCCCGGCTTCCTGGCTGTAAGCATAGAAGGCCAAGTAGTAGGCATTAGGTTGCATCTGTGCCAAGGGCACAGTACCGCTGCAGGCATTTGGGAACTCGCCGAAGGGCTTGGTGCAGGAAAGCTCCACAGTGCTGCAAATGATCTCGAAATTCGTCGAACAGCTGTCCCGTTCTGGCTTCGCCAGCGCAGCATTGGCCCCCTTAGCCGGCTGCGAAGTGATGACATAGCTAGCCCAACACTCGTGAAGGCACTCCCCCAACTGCTTCTCCTCAGGGCTCACAGCAGCTAAAGAATGTGTCACAATGCTAAACGTAACGCTACCAAGGCTCCACATAGTCATGAACAGTCATGGGCATGGTAGCTGCATGAGGAATCAGGAAACCCGGTCCTCTGGGGCTGTCATGGCAGCTACCCCGTCTTCGGTGCATACACCCGGCCCCGTCATCGTCTGAGTCTCCAGGTAGACGTTGCATTCTGCAAAGACGCCATGGAGACATCCCGCTAAAAGCAAGGATCGCACCAACGCCGGCGACATTGCCGCGACGATAACTTCAAACGCCGACAACAGCCAAGGCACAGCCGAAATGCCTGGAAGGCACCGGTAGCTTGTTATAGCCGGCTCAGAGATGCTACCATCCAGTTCTCCCGGCTTCACTCTGTCATTACCAAGGCATGTGCGTGTATGCATGTCTTTCCGTCTGTCTGTCCGTCCGTCCGTGTGTCTGTCTGTGCGCGTCTGTCTGTTTGTCTGTGCGGTCTGCGTGTGTCTGTGTCTGTCTGTGTCTGTCGTGTGTCTGTGGCTGCCTGTCTTTGTTTGTCTGTCTCTGTGTGTCTGTGTGCCTGTGTGCATGCATGTGTACAATGTATGCGAATGTGCACGGGTGCTGTTAAGCAACGTAAATCATTGTCATGTACGTGCATGTATTACCGTATGGCTTTGTTGACGAATTGGGGTTCTCTATGCATGGATTTGCACGTGCACACACAAGTCCAGGCTTCTCCGTCTGTAGCTAGACCGCTGGATCCACAGATGGAAAGATACGTGCATCTGTGCTGGCAGGGATTTATGTACAGATGGATGCAAGTCACATAGCGAACTTGTAGTCTTAAAACATGCGGCAAATATCCCAATGGAAGTTGTGTGCTACCTCCGTGGCCTTGGCGATCAATGGCGGTCCGGCTGCCCGCCACTGTTCTGAAAAACTTCACCGTGCACCTTGCACCCTGAACCCGAAGCCCCCAAACCCTAAACCCCCTAAACCCCTCAAACCCCTAAACCCTAAACCCTTAAACCCCTTAAACCCCTACATAAACCCTAAACCCTAAACCCCTAAACCCTTCACTACGCCCTGAGCTTCCCCGCAGCTGCCTCCACTCCCAGGTCCCGGCCCAGGGCCGCGCGTCGGAGCAGCCCATCCAAGGAGCGGAAGTCTCCCACTTCCGAAGCCTCCAACAGCTGTCATGGGGTTTAGGGTTTAGGGTTTATAGGGTTTAGGGTTTAGGGTTTAGGGTTTAGGGTTTAGGGTTTAGGGTTTAGGGTTTAGGGGTGCTTCGCTTTGGAGGATGTCAGCTTTCGGGCCCCACAAGGCTTGCTGAGAAAAGGAAGGGTCCGGCGAGCTGAGGGACTGTTTTATCAGGGTCCGCATTCATCTTGGGCGCCCTTGACTTTAGCGGAGTAAGGTTGACTCGAACTCTAGTAGGAGGTCTTGCAGGGAGTAGAAAGCACTTCGCCCATCAGCTGTGATTGTGAACCGAAGCCCGCACCGCAGCTTCACCGCAAACACCTGGAAATCCAAGACACCAAAAACCCTGTACTGCAAAACCTGAAACGCGAACACGCAAAACTCGGCGCCTGCTTCAGATGCCTTTCGAGACGACTCAGCTCCTCCTCCTCGGGCCGAGGGCACGCAGAGACATGGTGTATTATTGTAATTTGTTGACAGAAACAGTGAATAAACTATATATGTATATACATACGTACATGCTATGTACCTACCTGTTTGGTGTGTTTTTACCACTGGGGAAGGCAGGCAAACGGTTGGTACAGGGGGGGCACCATACAGACACACACATGTATATATATATATATATATGTATATAATACATAACATGTATATATATAGAGAGAGAGAGAGTATAAGCTAGAAATGTATATAGAATTTTGTACATGGTAATGGGTATGTAGTATGACGTTTATGATATATTGTGCCGCTTGCCACCGATGCAAAACTTGGCTGACTCACTGACTTCTCCTTCCATGTCCTAAAGATTGATCCACTTCGCGCCTTCAGGTCTTCCAGGCTCTTCAGCGCGCTGGCCAAATCCTCTGCACTATGTCGGAAAACCAAGCAGCTTGAGGAAGTACGATCTATTCACACCCGGAAGCAACTACAACTGCGACTGCGAAAGCCAAGAACTCCAAGACTTGTGCGCTGCACTGTGAAGTGTTCGGCATGTCGCGACTGCAGTGTCACTTGACTTGCCGTTCGCCGAAAACTCCATCAGTTGCAGGCAAGCGGCTCCAGGAATCAACAATTACTACAAATATAATTACCATTAGTAAGATGACTCAGCTATTATTACTTCTTTTGTTAACACCAACAAGTCCCTTCCCAAAACGAAGTGTACAAAAAAACAAAAGCCTCTGGGGCCCTGATGGCTCCGGTCCTTCTCCGGCAGGCCATCCTCCTGCTCCGCCTACAGAGCACATACGGATGAGTATCTCAAGTTCGAGATGGGAATGAGGATAAAGGATTGAGGGTCCAGTTGAGGGCAAAAAACCTGCAGCATAATGTGCTACATGATATCGCTTAGAAAATGGTTATGATGCACCGTAGTGTAACGTCAGGGCTCGCCGGCCTCCACGACGGCTTGGTGCAGCCGCTGGAGATCCATGGACTGCAAGGAGTTGCGAAAGGCAGGGAAGCACCGGATCCAGGGTGGACGTTTCTGCACACCAGCGATTCGCTTCGGTCTACCAAAGTCTACCGCTCTATACCTGGTATTTGCTTGCGTTGCTGCCATCCTCTTTTCCGCGGGCGGGCGATCGTCGGGCGCATGTCGGTTGTTTCGCTGCGCAGGCTCAGTCTTTGGAGAACTCGAAGCTCGCTAGCAGCTCGCGGAGGGTCACGACGAAGACTTCGTGCGGGATCGCTCCCGCGCCGTGGGCCACCAGGTCGTCATCTTCGATGATCCCGGCAGAGACGAAGCCAGGCCCGCTGACACAAAGGGTGGGCTCCGGGTCATGCTGCACCTCCCATACGCCTCGACCTTCACGCAGCATTTTCCATGAAGTATTGGCTGGTACTGACGGAGTATTACGAATCTGGCTTCGCATTTCCTACTACAAGCATGTGAAAATCTCTAATTCTCAGTGTGCCTTCTCATCTACATGGACCTTTATGACCTGTATGCACACACGCATATGCATGCATGTCCATGAACACAACAGCATGCTCAAAGAAATGTCATACGAGAAAACAAATAAATACAGGCGTATACATGTGCTTCTACATTGTATAAGACAGAGCTTGAACCCATGATATAGTAGAGTATGCTCGCGGCAGTCAGCCACATGCTGCATACGATGAAGGCAGCTGGTGACCTTCTTTGTCGCTCCCATTCTTCCGAGCTCCCAGCCTTCGTCTTTCAAGTCGTCTCCCTGAAGGAATTGGCTGCTCAGCTGGTCTCGTGGACCACCCCGTTCCTTGCAGCCGATCATTGTCCTCTTGGAGCCATAGTTCTCGTTGTCTTTCCTGAACATGCAATCTCGCTAAACAGCGGAGGTGAAGGTGGCCGGCAAGCATCTCCGACTAACCCTTGAAGGAAGGCTCCTTACAGTGGAGCAGCCCCCGTCGGATCTCAAGGCAACTCCCAAACTTCTCGAACCCTTCAGATCTTGCGGGCAAAGACGCGAAACAGTCAGGATGATTTATCCTGCTTATTCTTGTTCATCCTTATTCTGATTGATGGTCATTAGGATTGCTACGATTACTTTTATCAACCATGGTGCTGCCTGTTCTTGGCATTTCTATGATGAATCCTGGGAAGCTGAGGAGTCTAAGCCGCCGGCCGCCAGGAATGAAACTGGTTGAACTGGGCTCGGCCGTCGCCGCGCAGCAGAAGAACGTGACACTCGTAGTCATGCGCCTCCTGCAGCTTTCTCTGGACACAGATGAATCCCTATCGGAAACAGATGCCATTAAATCTTGCTGCAGTGTTTGGAAACGTCACAAGAGGGCACAGGCATCTGGGTTCTCAAGGCTCGCACGGGCCTGCTCGTCCCGCCTCTCGCCCTTTATCCAGGTCCAGCGCCCCACAAGGCTGTGGACCTGGTCCGGGTTTACATCCAGATCTCAGAGATCTTGCGCAAACGTCAGCTTTATAATGCAGCCTCGCTGTAGGTAAGGGAAGCCTGGGCATCAGACCACCAGCTGAATCTTCACCTCCTCCACGCCTGCGCCACGGCTGCAGGCCAAACGATCCTCTCAGTGCATTCACGTCCCTAGCTTGGCGACGGCCGTCGACTCTGCTGTTCAGGGTGTAAACACTTCGGGCAACTATGCTACCGATCAGGAACCGCTCCTCCATGCGCAGAGGCACCCCATCTCGAAGGAAGCTGCTGCATTTGCCAGGGACCTTGCTGGTCTCGTCCAGTGCCTGGACACCGACACCCAAAAAACGACTGCTACTGAAACTCCAAACTTCCCAAAATCACAAAGCAAAACAACATGGCCCACCCCCTAAATTCCAAAAAGCACACCCCTTTGTCCGGAAGCATCGGAACATCTTTAGAGCCCAAACCATAATACCCAAAACCCTATACCCAAAACCCTAAACCCTAAACCCCAAACCCTAAATCGTATACCGCAAAACCACCCCAAAGAGCTTCCCAGAAGCAGCCGAAGCCAAGCCTTGGCGAGGTCGGAAACCAGGGCACCGGCGGGCAGCATCTGGGCTTCATGTAGGTTTGTATACGAGTGTAGCATCATGTACTATGACTCTGATGTAGTAGACTATAGTCTGGTATAACGAACTATATTAATGTACAGTAGATAAACATCTTAAATGATACATACTACCTGTAATGTTTTCTAGCGAGCCCAGTGAGCTCCCAACAGAACCTGGTACTCTAATCAATTAAAGTCAAGAAGTATGTACAGACATGCGCTCAAAACAGCAGCACCACGTCAACCATGATGAGATTATGTCGCGTATTGCCTGGAGAGGCTGAAAGCCTTGGTGTGCCATCATTAGGAACTGGAAGGGATCTAGCCTTTGAAGAGCCTGTTGCTTGACATTTGGAGATGGGCATCATTGTCGGGATCAAACACGGCTATGGGACCATGACGGGATGGTGTGAGTTTCAATCACGGGACTTAAGATATGGGTGGCTGTCAAAATTAGGGTCCCTTTTTGGGGTCCCTATTATGATACGGCACTTAAGGGTACCCAAAAAGACCTAATTTTGAGGGTTCGCGGTCTATGCGGGCGGAAGCTGCGGCTGTCACCGGACGATGTATTCACCGAGGGGCAACTACTGAGTGGGTCTCGCCGCTCGTAGCAAAGATCACCGTGACCCTGAGCTCGCCCGGGTGCCTTAGCAAGCTCCATGACACAAACTTATGTCTGGCTGGCGCAACTCCGTCCTACTCTATACTCTGTACTCGGCACACTGGCTCGATTCGATCCTCCTGGAGTATGCGGCATGGTCCTCCAAGTCTTACGACTTACGAGTCCTGAAGACCGCGGCCACGCTGCGGCTGCTCTTCTCCGGCCCGGTCATGTGCTTCGGCTTCGGTGCTTGTCCTGGCAGGGAGGTGCGGACAATGCTGAGTATTAGGACCCTGAAGAAAGCCTCAATGCCTCACTGCACGTCTCAACCCGATAAGCCCTGACAAACACAAGAGTCACGAGACCCTAACCGTAGAAGGTGTATGCCCTCACCCCCAAACTGTATAAAGCCTGAAGCCCCAAGCAACGCCCTAAAGCCTAGAAGGCCCCAACAGCCCTCTACACTTTACACTCTACCCTGTAAACGCGCTAGAAAGTCTCAAGCCCTCCGTTTCCACGCGGTCCTCCCCTCACCGCCTTGGTCTGGCACAGACCCAGAGCTGCCCATGGCTTCCGCATCCGATTCCACTTTTCGCTTTCGGAGTTCAGTGGAGGGCTCGTGGGGTTCAGGGGCTTCAGGGTTCAAGGGCTTCAGGGCTTAAGGGTTTTTGGGGCTTTTGGGGTTTAGGGTTCAGCCGCAGGCTTTAAGGGCTTCTCGCGTTTGACTCCCAAGCGTCGGGAGCCGAGCGTGCAAGACACCACCGCAGATGAGACTGTAGTGTTTTTAGGGTTTTACGCCCAGAAAACTCAGAGGTCCAGGACTTCAGTTTCAATCTGCTGCACGAGCTGCGACCTACGATACCGCCTGCGTTTTTGTGGGGAGGGACAATGTTTCGGCACAGCCAGGCCTTGAGCATGAATTCTCAACCCTGCCTTTGAGCACCTCCTTCCCGTCTTGATCCAGAAACTGAAGGTCGGCGCTTGGAGCGTCGCTCCCCCTCGACCCCCCGGACGCTGAGCCCCAAGCCACAGAAGCACTACAAGAACCATCTTCGAATAGATATACAGATACAGATATAGATATTGAGGTAGATGTAGCTATACATACCGATCTAGCAATAAACATAGTATAGAGAAAGAATGAATCCACAACTTCCAACCCCCCAAAAGCAGGGCCGGGCCTCCATTGCCCGCGTCAGCTGCTGCCGGAGGCCGAGGAGGCGATCCAGCAAAGACCGTGCACCGGCCAGGAGCTCCTCAGCGAAGAGCTCGAAGCCCAAATAGTATTGTCAACACTATCGTTTTTGGATAGTCTATATATATATATATATATATATATATATATATATATATTTTATGTGTATATATATATACATATATACATATATACATATGTGTATATAGTATAGTTCTTAATTATGTTGTGTTGAATTTGTTTTTTGCGCAGTTACGTAATGTAGGTTATATATCGCCCTGAATGTGATCCCTCGTTTTATGGACTGTTGAAGGTTGGGGGCAGTACCAACCCTGAACCCAGTCGCCGATGGGAACCCGGAGGCTTATCAGGAGCTGTACACAAGATGCCTTTGCAGTTGAACTCGAGGGGCTGCATCTCCGTCTCCAATCAAAGCCTAAATCCCAACAACAAACCCGAGCTCCAGAGTACGGCTGCGAAATTGAACACTAAAACTTGTCAGTTTGAAGCCACTTGCGCGATTGCTGATGCAACATTGCAGCCTCATCCTACAACCGGGCGCCGCACGCTGTCTGTCACGCTGTCCTGGCACGCAGAATGGAGGGCCTGGTAGATCAGCTCCGCATCGCAGGAGTCCATGGCCTCCCGTCAACTGCCGATTGGCGCTCAAATGAGCATGCTAAAAGAAGCTGCTCAGACGCACGGCTTGAATTCAGCAAGTTTCTGGGGGAGCTCATGAGATGGAAAGACATCTTAGCAGCCTCCGCTTCGGTGCAAATGCTTGTCTTGGCACTGCTGCGAAACATGATGCCGCAAGTCCAAAGCTGGTTTTTCAGTGTTTGTAACAGTTCAAAGGTTTCAACAGGCACCACCCTGGATCAGCAAGTACTCCGCAGCAGGTGAAGATCGGTTGGGAGTTTTGGCATTGACTGCCTACATATGCAACTGCGCACCGAGCCACAGGGTGTCGGCCCTTCCTTTCAGCAGAGCGACTAGATGCCGGGTGCTGGAATGCGCAGCCAAGGTGAATTTGCAGATTGAAGAGATAGGGCTAGTAGCACACACGCACTCTGTGATAGTCATGGCACGGTACAAGCTAACGGCGATCGCTCTGCAGCTCTGATGCTCAGTGCTTTGGCAAGACCGGCTTTAGAACCACTCTGTAGCATCATTGGCTTCGCATTTTTTTTCTAGGGCCAAAACGGTCCATATTAAGTGGTTCATAGCTACTTTCAGGCTTTTTGCCGTAGATGCTGCAAGCAAAAACCCTTCAAAACCGGGAGTCTTCCAGCCTGGGAGAGGCTCTCGATGGCGGCATCCGAGCGCTTGAAAGCTTCGAGGGCTTCGATGGCCGGCTGCAGCTGCGCCTGGGAACAACGCATCGAAGGCTTCAAACATCTCAAACCCAGCATAACGTAAGCCCGAATTTGGTATCATTCTGGAGAAAATATCTAATCTGCTCTCGTCTAGTCTGGAGTAATGAGTAGGCTAGCGCAGCATACTGCGTATATCAGACTATCCTATCTATATATATATATACACATATGTATATATATATATATATATATATATATATATATATCGATCGACTCCAGACCCGAAGATACGACGGCGCCTGGCAGATGCCGCTCTGCGCCGTCTGGTCGAGGGCAGCCCTGATACGGTCCGTCTCTCCGATGGAGACCTGGGCTCAAGGTTAAGAGCTTGAGCTTAGGGTTCAGGATTTAAGGGTTTAGGAAGTTTAGGGATGTTTAGGGTTTTGCCGGGGTTTAGGGCTTTGAGAATCAAGCTCAAGACGTTCGGGCTTCTCACCTGCGACTTGGGCTTTCTAAGGTTTATGATATGCTTAGGGCTTCTAAGGCTGCCCACGACCCGCCAAATCGCTTTTGGACGCCTGGCGTCTGCGAGAGCATACGATCGAATTAATTCGTTTCGGCTTGGCCTGGCAAGGCTCAGGAAGCTGCTGAGAGACCCAGAGCTGCCTCCCGAACCAGTAATCTTCAGACTATTCCGCAAGGAATCCTGCAACCACTTGCATTTCCTCACCTCGACGGAGCTCTGTCTCTTGGCATGGGGCCCGCGGCAAGCTTCGGGACCTAGATCTGCTCTTGCTGATAGAAGCTGGAGGCATTCGTTCCACTGGTATCCCACCTCATCGGCAACGCCTTGACAGCCGGGAACGAAGTACTCCTGAAACCACCAGCGCTGCTCATGTTTTTGCGGAAATGTGACAACTCAACTTTCTCTGCGATCTGCGGCACTGTCGTCATTGTCGTGGAAACATCCAGAGGGCGCTTCATGGCGAGAGAGTTCGAGAACACTCACAGCTAGAGGCTCTGTGCTTTGGACGAGAAGCCGAAGAAGTGCACTGCGAATAGCCGAGAACTTTCGAGCAGCTCAAGGCTGCACCTAAGCCCGTAGAAGGAACCACCGAGAGTGCATGTGAAGATGTGAAGCTCTTCTTGGGGCGAAGAGACACTGCCACTTGAAAGCATTGTCCAAAGAATCAATTTTGGATCCCAGGGACTAGAAGCCTTGTCGTCCCAGTCGTCGGCACCAAAAACTTGAGCAAGAGCTTCTGAACTTGCTGAACCTGTTCCCCGGACAAGTCTCTGCCACCTTCGACAGGTCTTGGTGAACCCTGTGCCCTGATGGCGCCTAGTTGTGATGAGCTGCTTTGTCGTCGGTTCAGTGTGGAAACCCCGACACGGCGAGCCCTGCTGTGAGCACCTTTCTGAGCAGGGGCAGGCTGTAGCCAACTGTCGCCTGTTGTACTCTTCTGGCGAAGCTTCCCCACATCCATGCCTCTGCCTCCGTCTGCATCTGGCCGCCACCCCGCATTCCGAATGGTCGACGCACGTTGTCATACGGTGTCTCGCGCCGCAGGGGCTCGACGAGAGAACTCGGTCGGGTACCACGGCCTTGGAAGCCGTCCGTTAGACGCTCCCCTCGCATCGTCCGCAGTATCTTGAGCACGAAGGGCTGCAAGAAAGCAAGTGTCATGAGCAAACAGAACAGCAGATCCACAGATGAATTTCAAGGCCTGCTCTGGATGGCGGCGCCAACAGTTCAGCATCATCTCCCACCCCAAGGAACATGTCCCCATCAGAGCCCCGCGCCGCGATGTCGAGCTCCCTGGCCAGAACGCTCCACTGCAGGTGCGCCGCACGGGGCTCGGCCTTGGCAAGGGCTTGTTCTGAAGCT